CTGTCAAAGGACAAAATCATAACCAATTTAAAGATCACATTTGGCTTTACTGTGATTCTAGCATCAGGCAACACTTCATTCCGTAAAACAGAAGACATATTCCAGTGAGCCAAGCAGAGGAAGGTGGTTTCATAGACAGAAAAGACTGAGGAAAACAGAAACAAAGAACAGAAAGTGGATTGGTCATTTCAATGTTACTGTCCTTGTAAGATGGTGGAGGGGAGACAGAACAATAGAAAAATAACTGATTATTTAACATCAGATTACTTTAGGTTATCCTTTTTGTGAAAGGATTAAAGGACAGGGAACTTCCTATCATGTCTATTATAGATTTAAACTGGCCTGTTTTGGGAAATTGGCTGTTATCTCTCTCCTGATGTCGCAGAAGGTCAGACCACAACCTAGTTTAGGTTTAAAACTTAGCAGGGGTGGCTCCGTTTTGATTTTTACTCTGGTCTTTTGGAGTCTAGTGCAGGAACTTGGTCCAAAACAGTGGCCTCCTATAATTTTTATTTAACAATTCAATTCCTTTTCTTTTGGAGTCCACATCTTTCAGCTACCTCATTTTGTGCTTCTGCTTATTTTTCTTGTGACTTAAATTTACCTATCTTTTATATCAGTCCAATTTTTCACTATGGGACAAAGCTAGTTCTCCCATTCATTTTAATAATTATCAGGAAGATAATTCCTATCTTTTTTATCTAAATAATTATTGATTCTAATAGTGGAACTTTCAAAAATAAACTAAGGGGGAAGGGGAGGAGGGTAAGGTCAAGCCCAGGCACACTAGGAGAATAAACTTTTGGATAATGTGGCTTTTTGGTACTTTACCAAAAAGATCAAACCAGTGTAGATAGCAATCTATGCATCAAAGAAACTTTAGAAGTTGTTCATTCATTCTACAAATACTTACTGAGTGTTTATATGCAAGGTGCTATACACAATGCCTAGAGCTATTCAAAGAATAGCCTCCCTTAGGCTGTTTTATTGAAACTTTTTATCAGAGATATGTATTATTCTTACATGTAAAACTAAACAGGCAAACAATTAAAACTTTTTGCATTCACATTTTGAGTAAAATTTATATACACTGTGTTTATTGATGCACAACAAATTACCCCATAACCTAGTGTCTTAAACATTTATTATCTCATGGTTTCTGTGGGTTAGGAATTCAGGTACAGCTTAGCTTAGTGCTTCCACATCAAAGAATCTCCAAAGAATGTAATCAAGATGTCCTCTGGGGCTTATGTCTCATCTGACGGCTCAGCTGAGGGAGGCATTGCTTCCAAGCTCACTCACATGGTTGTCAGCAGGATTCAGTTTCTCAGGGAATTGTTAACCAAAGGACTCGGTTTCTCAATGGCTCTTAGCAGGAACCTTCCTTAGTTCCTTGATATTTGGGCCTCTCTATAGGGCTATTCAAAACATGGCAGTTTACTTCCCTCAGATTGAGGGGTCTAGGAGAGAGCAAGAGAAAGAAAGAGCAAACAAGACAAAAGCCAAAGTCTTTCTGCAGCCTAATCTTGGAAGTGACATCCCATCACTTTCACAATATTCTGTTTATTAGAAATGAATCACTAGATCCAGCCCTGACTCAAAGGAAGGGCATTATACAGGATGTCAGTACCAGAAGGTGAGGTTTATTGGGGGCCATTTTAAAGGCTGTCTGCTGCACACTGGTTTTAGCAAACTCTCTTTTAATTCTATTTTATAGTTGAGCTATAATCCAATTAATATCAAACACAGCTTCAAAATTAAGACTGATAATACATGAAACACAGTTTTACGTGCAAGTTTTCTGAAGCTTCTAAATTTTCCATGCTTATATACAGAAGTAGAGTATGGTTGGAGCAGTTTATATTTATTGTAATACAAAGGTACTTCAAAATTCATGGAAAAATAACACTAAAAGATAATACAAATTTTTCCATGAACTTTTTGAAGTACTCTCATATATATATATATATATATATATATA